TTCCCATCAGCTTTGTCTTTCACTTAGATTTGAAACTATGGGATTAAACATGCTCTTTCTGCTCTGTGCCCAAAACTTACAGAGTGACTTTGTAAAAAGATAATTTTTAAGTTTCCTCTTTTCTCAGGAGTAACTCTTCTACCTCTTGGGAACTTGGGGAGGAATAATTAAGTACTAAAATGAASTATGAAGGTTGTGGGTGTTTCGTTCCCTCTGAGAAGGCTGCTAACATCAGGGTTGAAAAAAAAAATAGTGACAAATTTGCAGCTTTTGATTCCAAAAGGAAAGGTCTTCTTTCTCCCTCACAGCAATATCCCTTCACCGTCCCCTGCCCAGTAGCAAAAAATGAAACTACTTTTCTTTCATTTTTTTTAAAGTGGAGGTATAGCAAAAGAGAGATTAAATTAGTTGTGGAAGTTAGAAACCAAGACAGTCCATGCTACTTAAAAAGACATATATGTGTGGGGGTGGGTAGTATGTGTGTGTGTTTGCATTTAAAGTTATATATATATTAAAGTTAAAACATACAAAATTAGACATGCTCTGTGTATGCACTTAGACTGACATTTTACTCATTGACAGTAGTCATTTTAATGCAGAAACCTCCTTTCAGAGCATCCCTTTATTTAAAGTTATTGGATTATTTCACATCCTGATGGTTGACAGTGATGAATTAATAATCAGTAGCTGGCAAGCTGTTCATAGTGCTAATTTGGATCCTGACACAGTGCCCTCTTCCAGATCAGTTCAGACTTATTGGTTTTCTTATCCTCATCATCTCTTGCTTAGGAATAAGTTCAATACAATGTGTGCCCAAACAAGTCYAACATCCATTCATTCAACAAATGCTTGGTGAGTTTCCACTGTGAGTTTAACACAGAGATGGCTACTGTGGATATGTCAATGAACAAAACAATGTACTTTTTCTTAGGACACTTGCATAACTAATAAGAAAATAAAACTACTATAGAGGGAAAAAAAAGATTGGTGTAAAAGGAATAGGATAGGGACAGGCAAGTAGTAGTGAGTGAGCCAACRACAGGAGTGGAGTGAGGGAGGGAAAGAAGTGGTGGAAGTGGTTGTGGAGACACTCAGGGTGAGATATGAAGAGCTGTGTACTTCACTGGAGAAAGTAGATTTTACTCCAGATGAAGTGAGGTTCTGAGAAATGGCATGATTCAAAATGAAGAATCCCTATCTTTCTAGGAACAATCAATGTCCTAGCAGAAGACAATCTAAATATGTACAGATAAACAAATCTTTCAAAGCAACTATAAAGTCTATAGAAGTATAATCTTGTTGTTGTTTGTTTTTAGAGTTTATTCTCAGTTTATATTATCAGAGGAAAAGAATTTAACCACTTAACTTAAAATCTTGATCTAGGTCACTCACTGTACTTCAGAGTTTTTCCTAAGTCATAGGTTGTTACTGGCTTTAGGGTTGTGTGACTCAAAGGTCTATTGGACAGCATAGGAAACTAAGACACAGGATCTACCAAAGAAGAACCAGGCAAATACTTCCTAAGGGGAAGAAACAAGACAAAGACTGCAGGGAAGCTTTGAGATTCATTGGCATATTGGCTGGCATCTATTTGAGAGGCATGCCCTCACATAAGAAGGAACGTATTAAGAACTGATCAGTCTCAGGCACTGCAATTCCGTCTCTCACGACACAGAAGCCCTATGAGGCAGAGATCACTCTCTTTACTCCTCCGTGAGGAAACTGTGCATCAGAGGGRTCACCTAATCAGTTTAAACTTCTTAAAGATAAGAAATGGTAGAAAAGAAATGTATACTGAAGTCTCTGAGGTTCTAAACCCTGTACATTTTTCTACCAGTCCATGTGATTTCTTCTAAGTAGGCAATTAGGATYGAAGACATTTAAATTGTGTTTGGTAAGTGGAAGGCAAGTAGGTGTAGCACCCGTAGCTGACACCACAATTGCAAAAGAAAGATCTTTATTATCATTTTAAATATAAGAACTTTTGAATTAATAATGTAGGAAGAGTTATAATAAAATATGAAATGCATCTTTAACTAGCTCTGAATGGAGAAGTGATTTAAATAGATGAATACTTAATCTTTTTTTATATTACAAAAAGACTGTGTCTTGTGCTGAGGATTGAACCCAGGGCCTCCAGCATGCTACACAAGGGCTATATGGCTAAACTACAGAAATCCAGAGCCTTGAAAATGTTTTGGTATCTATACAACTTCTACACCTAAACCTTTCCACAAAGTCTGGAAAAGCGCCTGGAATATCAACCTCATAATGTTCTTCTTTTCCTTGATTATTAACTGATTAAAAGGTGTATAGATATTTGTGACATACTAAGCCTATTTCTGTCTCTGTTGATTATGGTTTTTATAATCCTTTACTTTTAATTTGAAGCAAACAAATTCCAAGTAGTAAAAGGTTTTTCAAATTATACTGGCGCCTTATATTATCCACCCCCCCATCATGATTTGCAAGATACTAGTATCTCAGTAAAGTAAAATGGAAAAGCAATCCATGATGCAAAATGTTTGATCTTCAACATACTTTATTGCATGCTTGTATATTTTCAGCAAGTACATACATATCAAACTGTCTTGAGAAGTTTATTGGAGAAGCCTAAAATTCACTTGATCATGGAATGGCCCCACTTCTTTTTCTTTCTTTTTCATTTCTTTCTTTACTTTTAAGCAAATGGTGATCTGTGAAAGTGCCTGCCAAATAAATAGAGTGAGCAGATTTCAGAATGCTTCTAGGTTGGAATATTAGTCTGGTGACATGGTTCTGTAACAATACTGTTTAGAAATATTGGTAATACAAATACAATATGTTCTGGCAAGCCCACGAAATTATCCATATTTTGAATATTGGACTTTATGAATATAAAAATTTTAGATGTTAATTTCAAATCATGATTTTAAGTTAAAGTGATAGATTTTTTCCCATATTTTTAAGCTTTTCAGAATTATGTATTTTTTGAGAGGTTACTTCTAGTTGAAATATAAATGAAAATGTTTACCAAAAAATAGTTCAGCTRTGTGTCGAACCTGGTAAGTGCCTTTATATGGAAGGAAAAAGCAGTTCTTTTATTACAGATGTTCAAATGAATTAAAAGCCCTATAGAGCCGAGTCTGTGGCACATGCCTGTAATCCCAGCAGCTTGGGATGCTGAGGCTTGAGGACCACAAGTTCAAAGCCAGCCTTAGCACAAGGCACTAAGCAACTCAGCGAGATCCTGTCTCTAAATAAAATACAAAATAGGGATGTATATATTGCTTAATTGTCGAATGTCCCTGAGTTCCATCCCTGGTACCAAAAAAAAAAAAAAAAAAGAAAGAAAAAAAAAAGCTTTATAGGGTTCAGTGCTAGAATGCCACAGACTTGTTTCATGCTCTGTGGGCCTGAGTCATGGCAGGATTACAGGAAATAACTGTGTAGGCCTTTTTAAGAGGTAGAATATCAACATGAGTGATATATAATGCTTTTCAGTTATTTAGCTGTTATGTTGGGTTGCTGAAACAAAGCAAGGAATCTAAATGATTGTTCAGAAAAGCATCTAACCCTYGGACTAGTGTGTGATCAAAATATTTACATAAAGTGGATCTAATTCTGGCATTTATAAGGATTAGACCAGAGTTCCTCATTTTGTAAAAAAAATGCCTATAGATGTTTTTTTGCTGCCCTCGTGACTGCTTAATTCCTCTGGTCTAGATAAAAGGCAGTTAAATCCTTGTGTCTTGATACAGGCAGAAATGGAAAAAAAAAAAAAAAAAAAAAGCCAGAGCAGGCATGCAAATCTGACAGCTCTGTGAGGTCCTGGGTTTGTATGATTTACATAGTCCATTTTTCTTCCAGGCTTATCATTGAAACTAGTAAGTAGTTTGGAAAATCTAGTAGTAGTTATTTAAAAAAAGAATACAGAAATTAATTAAGTAATTAAGTAATTATTGGTGAGAATTTGCAGTGTTTCTACCCTCTCTGAACAGAAATAAGAGAATCATGATGTCAAGTCCATAGTAATATTACATAACTAAAAATAATTTCATAAAAAAAGAACAACTTGAGATCTTGAGTTTTTTGTTGTTTGTTTTTTGTTTTTTTGTTTTTTTTTTGTTGTTGTTGTTGTTATTGTTGTTGTTTTTTGTAGGACATTGGTACTGGGGATTGAACCCAATGGTGCTTAACCACTAAGCCACATCCCAGCCCATTTTTGTTTTTAATTTTGAGATGGAGTTTTGCTAAATTGCTAAGACAGGTTTTGAACCTCTGATTCTTCTGCCTCAGCCTCCTTAGCCTCTGGGATTATAGATGTGTGCTCGTATGCCTAGCTAGAGATACTTATTTGGCTCAGAATTATTTAATTGAAGAATCTGGATATTGACAATGATTAATTTAAAACAATTCATTGATTTACATAGGTGATTGTTCCTTGTATACAATGGTGATATCAAGTAAGTGCTGATTTCCTGACTCACAGAGAAGGCAGTACTAAGACACTGAGGTTTTGCAAAATGATAAAGCTTTTTTGAGGGTTAATGACTTAGGAGGCAAGAGATACKCTCAGATCTGTCCTTTTATTGGTTGGTAGTGGGGAAATGTTTAGGAGTGGATAACTGAGAAGCTGATTGTTGATTTTTATGAAGCTTTAGGGTTCTTTTGCATAGGCATAGATGATCCCCATGCCTCTTCAGAGGTCACATGATTCTTTTGTGGGTTGGTTAATCATGTCCTGCCTGGGTGATTTTGATCTCATAATTTTAACAGGCTATTCTCCTGAGGCATTTGTGTCTAAGACTGTCAAGGCCTTAGCCGGTTTCATTGGCATTTTACATTTATTAAAGTTTTTCCCCATTAAGAGTTTTTTATTCATATAAATTCATTTAAATCAGTGAGAATGATCAATGCATAAGCAATGGGATAATGTTTCTTCCTCCCAAATCAAACAATGGTATGCTATAATCGGTTCTGATTCTAAGTAATGATGTCTGTCTTGCTATCCTTTGCAGCCAGCTGTTGCAAACCCTGATATAATGTTCATTAAAATCCATATCCCATGGGATACGCTGTGCAAGTACGCAGAGAGACTGAGTATCAGGATGCCCTTCAGGTACTTTCAAAATTTATTTCATTCCATCTCAATGTGTATTAAGATGAGTCTGTCTTTTACAATATCCTAGAGCAATAAATGTATTCCTTTCTAAAAATAAATTGTTATTTCTTCCAAAATTTAGTGTATCTTKGGCATTTTTCCCCCTATTTAATTAGTTTGCCTAATGTGGTAAGCTTTCTGGTTCTCTAGACCCCTTATATCATTTCAGGGTAGATTTACCTAGAGAGAGGATAAAATAATTATTTTCAAATTTCAACTTCTAGCAATCCCCATGATCAATTTCACTTTCTATTTCAGAGGGGTGAATATAATTCTTGTCATTTTTGTGGAAACTGGCAAATGTAAATATATAGTATCCTTATATATAAATACGGAGTTCTTTCCTGATAGAAGTTAACAAGAATCATTTTTCAGGTCAGTTCAACCAGATGCTTTCTTAGTTCTGTCTTCAGTAGATGARTATAGGGTAATGAGAGGACTTCAGTTTTCAGTGATTTTTCAGTCTTTCCTTTAGTCAAGCATAGATTGAAAAGCCAACTGTTTTCCTRCCTTGAGTATCTGATGTTATATTCAGAATGTATCATGTTCCTCCATCATTTCTGAAAGGTAAATTCTACAGTGTTCATACTGTATGAAAAGTGTTAACTCACAGTGAAGATAAGAACATTTACATTGACATGAAGCTCAATATGTTCYATCAGCTACTAAGAAGGTATAAAAGGTTCAGAGTGAATGAGAATCCAAGCAAAAGAACCTTGATAAATCTAACTGAACACTAGGATTCCAATTCAAAAAATGGAAAAAAAAAATTCTGGGACTTGGAAACATTTAAAGAGGCCAACTCTGAAAGGAGTTCTAATGCCCTTAAGGTGTTTTGACAAACCTCTACATTATTGAGGTTAAGATATGAAACATCAATCCTAAACTTTTCAACTATATGAAACAGTTCATTCTTCGAAAGATGCAACCTCAGTCAATACCCAAAAATCAGAAACTTAGTAAGAATTGGTGACTACTGCAGGGTCTTGCCAATCATATTAGACTTTAAGACCTAAATTAGCTCACATTCATGACTGGATAAGAGTTTAAGAATTCTCTATGGAGATGGTATTCAGTGGATAAGCAAATAATACTGCAAAATATCTTGACAAAATCATAAATTGAAAAACAAATAAAGATCAGTCTTTTCAATTCCTCAACCTCTTGTACTGATGATGGATAAGATTGCCAAGACAACCTGAAGTTTGCACATTTTTCTTAAAATTGATACCTGAAAGAAGCAAAGCAGGCTTGAAGATAATGCCTGTCTATGATTAGATTGTTGGAAATCTATATAGGGACTGATTTTGATTCAGGTGATAAAACTGAAGTGAGAGTACACTTAAGCATGTACTTATGTGAACTACATTTCTTGACATCCAGAATTTTCCTCTTTTGATACTGCAACCTTCTAAATTTTTTTTTGTAAATACTTGGCTAGAGATGATAACAATTTATATAGTATTCTGCTGAGAATAGGSTTACTTTATTTACTCTTTGCTGTGATTTCTTTTTCTTTGATCTGCATGCATTAATGTGACACAGAATCATACAGAATAAAAATAATGAGCTAACTTTTAACTTATTGAAGAATTTTGCAAGTAGTTACCTTCAAACTTAGCATAGATATGACAAGAATCTCCTTTCTTTATTCATACTTGGAATCAAACTTCTGAAACTTCATTTGAAAATGTTTTCAGTGAGCATTAAAAGTTTTCATATCTCTGCTTCCTATCGTATGCACGTAATTTTCAAATGCATACACATATTCACAGAAACTTAATTTATATTTTTGAAAATATAAACATTGCTATATTTAACATTAGAAAATGTAATTAAAGTAGAATGTACCTTTGAATTCAAAACAATTCGTTTATAAAATAAATGGGTGTAAAGATTTCTTAAAATTTYAGGAAAATAGTAAATAATAAAATTGAAATTGAAGTATACATGATATTTAATTATTTATACAGTGTGACTTCAACCAYAGAAAAAATGGATAGCAATATTATTAGAAATGTATTACAAATGATTGCTCTGATGGATAGAATTGTGTGTTCCTGCTACTTTATTTATACCTTACAAGATTATTTATTTTCTACAAGTTCTAATTTGATTAGATGTTAACACATGACATAAAAGAATTATCATAGTCAAGATAATGACCTGTTTCAAAGTACCCACCTCCAAATATCACTAGGTATTAGGTTTTCAACATATAAGTTTTCAACAAACATTTAGTTTATTGCCACTAGCAACATATGCTTGCTTTGTCAAAATATTTGACTTTCATTATTTAAAAGATTGTTTTTCTTTCTTCATTAGTAGTTTAAAATATGTTCATTCTGCTCTAGTTTATATAAGGAAAAGTCATACAAACCATGACAACACCATCTATAGTGTCCTAATTTTCATATAGCTTTTTCCCACCCCATTGGTACCTTGAGATGGATTTTATTCATTTTTTTAAAGATTGAAAGTTTAGGGGCTGGGATTGTGGCTCCGAGGGAGAGCACTTGATTCGAATGCATAAGGCACTGGGTTCAATCCTCAGCACCACATAAAGATAAAATAATAAAGATATTGTGTCCACCTATAACTAAAAAATAAATTTAAAAAATAAAAAAAAATTAAAAAGGATCGAAAGTCTATTAAATCACAATAGCCTTCTTTCTATCATGTTCCTTACTCTAGTTATTTTGCACAAATTTCAAGGAACTTACCATTAGAATAATTGATATTCTCATGTCATTTAAAAAAATGATTCATTCAATACCTTTTTAATTTCTTTAGAAGTATGTTAAAAACAATTATCTTGCCAGACTGCAAGTGACTTCACTTATATTCTTCAGAGTTTAAGTCTCCAGGCTGTGTGCTACATTTTCCTTTCATCCAAAGCGAGATTGGAAAGAGAATGCTCCTCTCAGTTTAATGTTTCTTTTTAATGATATTTATTTTTTCATTTCCTGGTAAAATTGTATTTGAAAGAAAAATTCATATACATCCAAGGGTCACAWAAAGAAAATTATTGAATTATGCAGTTACCATCTATTCTTATTGAAGATTGCCTGAAATTTATTCCTTTCAGTTTTTTTAAAGTTTAGATTGCTGCATTAATTAAACTTTTTGGAAATAACATGGTAATTCCTGTGATATAACAATAAAAATATTAGAAAACATGCAGCATTTTTCAAAGCAAAGTAATACTACTTCCACAGAAACTTGAGAGAAAAATATCCTGTGATCAAATTTGTTGTTGAATTTTTAAGTTAACAAGTTAGTATATTTACTGTAGGAATATTTTTTAAGAAGTAGTTCTTCAGTTTTTAAAAAATGAATAAAATATGTATTATGTCTGGGACAGGACTGGAGATTTTTATAAATTATTAATAAGCATCCAAATTATTCTGATGMTAATTATAAATAAATATGTTTTGGAGAAATTAATTTTAATATTCCTTATTTTAAAATAAATTTTAAGAGAGATTTTTAAAATATATTCTTCTGTTAATTTCCATCTAATGATGACATTCTCAGAGAAAATATTTGAGACATACTGGAACACAGGGTGGTTTTAGAACATCTTTCTAGATCAGTTTAAATAATAGATATAGCATTAACTAATCCTTAGTAAAAAAAAAAAAAAAAAAAAAACTTATTTATAAGGTATTCCTAAAATTTGGCCTGCACATAATAAGAGAATATGCTATTCATACATAAAATAAGACAGAGTGTTTTCAAGATGATCAATTTAATCACCAATTCCCATAAGGTATCACTTTCAAGAATATATCTAAAATATATATCTAAAACTTGAAGTACAGTTGGCCTGCCTTACCCATGGTCCATTGACCTGGAATCAAGCAACCACCAATCAAAAAAATTGAAAAAACATTGCATCTATACTGAACATACACTGAATTTTGTGGGTCATTATTCTTTAAACAATACAGTGTAACAACTACATGCAAAGCATTTACACTGTATTAGGCATCATAAATAATCTAGAATTATTTTGAAGTATACTGGAGGATTTACATAGGTTAGTACTTTGCAAAATTACCTAAAACACTTGAGCATCTGTACACTTTTGTATCTGGGGAAGACTCTGGAACCAATCTTATCTAAATTTTCTGAATAAATATATCTGTAACATTTTATTATAGATAATTTTTCTAGCCATTTCTTTCTTGTCTTTTCTTCCAAAATAGATATGGCCTATTATGTTTGAAATAATATTTCAAAAACAATCAATAAAATTTTAGGTGCAATAGTTCATATTTTCTAGTTTTTATCATATCATAAAGGATTTAGACTATTTTAGAAATGTCAAAGTCCACTTTTAGTGTTTTCCTTTTGATTCATAGGTGATCCTTTTAYATTTTTACCTCTCTTTCACATTCAAAGTGTCAACATATTTTAAGAAGTTTCAATGATTTCGCAGCTTCTCAGGTTGAGTTCCTAGGTGAAGTCAATTTCACATTTCTCCTCAAGTTCATCCTCCCACAAATATTTAAACATAAGAAATATGGGATACTRTTTAAAACAGTAAGAACAATATTTTTGTGCAATTAGGATTAAATTTAGATCTTTTTTTATGCAAAGAAAGCCACTCAAAAATAAAACAAAAATATGCAGGTGCTTCCTATATAGAATGAATAGAAGCAGAGTCTCTGAAGTTGTCAAGAAGCAGCGGGCACCCATCCACTGACCTCCTCACTTGGCCCAGCAGACATGTCCACAAGTGGCCCCTGACAATGTGGAGMTGACTGGAAACAGTAATTTTGATAGTTATTTACTTTGACTTTTGAGTGGTAGGTATGTAGATAAATTCATCCCTAATGCAAGATCTAAAACAGCAAGAATCTTAACAATGAAAACTTAAGGGGAAAATAAAGCTCTAATATGTGAACAGTTTTCAGTCAATAAATTACCAGATGGAGAATTAAAGGTAGAAAGGATTTGATACTGTAGGTTCATTTATGCAGGAGAACAAAGGAGAATTGCAGGTTGTTGATGACATCRTGAATTAAAGATACACTACTTATTATTGGGAAAATAGAATTAGAAACAACCCCTCAAACACAGAAAATTTTGCTACAATGATATACAGGAAAGAAAACAATGTTATTATAGAACAAACATTAAACCACTTCACAGTCTGCCACTAAGAGATTGAAAGGGAAAATCACTTCCTGTTGCATAGCCAATCAGGTACAACTCTGCATCCCTGTTGTCAAGATAAACAGTAGAGAGTCCTAAAGTGAAAGGACTTGGCAATACCATTTTCAAACATAATTCATAGTAGATTCACTAGATAATTGGTGTGTTCCTTGGTTTATTAGTTTTATGGAGAAGAACAATTAAACTTATGTTTCTTTGCGAAAAATGGTAATTCTGGACCTTGGAATGAGAATCMTACCCTCCCACAAAAGCTGGGAGATGGAGGTGCTATCCCATGGATGTTYACATTTTAAACAGATGGCTTCTATGCCTGAAAGGAGGTATCTTGGGTCATCAAGCTCAGGAAAGCCCAATGGAGTTTTCTGAAGGATTTACATAGATTTCAAAGAAAAGAGAAAGTACTTATGGAGACAGATCTTCTCAAGTAAATGCACTAAGAAAAGGGAGGGAAGAAAAGTCCTTCACTTTTTTAACAGAGAATTAAGTATCTGAATTTTAATTTTCATTTGCTCTTAAAATCAGTCTAAAATGTGTATGTATTCATCTGGTATATTTTTTCCAGTTATCCTTTATTTCTCCCAAAATGTTTTTAAAACAAAAAATTAAGAGAAATATTTCAGATTAACAGCAATCAATATAGAGAATAGTATTTACTCCAAATGCAACCCCTCCCAATTACTTTTCTACCACTCCCTCACTATATCCCCTACTGATAATTGCATCTAAAACATTGTCTCCTGTGAGTCAAGTGCCTGTATTATTTTGATGGTGGAACATTTTAAAACCAATTTCCTTTATATATAGTTTTTTAAAAAATACTATATGTAGTGAATGTTTATAAACATAAAATTATCTCAGGCACTGAAGGAGTTAAATGCAACTATTGATTAAACTGGGGTTCATTCATTTATTCATCAGCCATCTGAGTGCTTACAATTTATTAAATAATGTGTGGAGTGTTCACCAGCCACACAAAGTCAAGTAAAATAGAGCTGTTGTACTAAGGATCACATACTTGACAATAGTGAACATTTATTAACCTCGGATTAAATGGCTCAAGACAGTCTATGCAGAAGAGGTTCAGAAACAAGATGAACAGTACAATAGAGATTGAATAATGTCTGAATACAAAATTTTTTCTGTTTGAAAAAAAAGGAGAAAGAAATTTAAAATGAGACTTCAGAATCCATAGAGGGAGTTTTGAAATCCTATGTTTGAATTTAGTGTTGGAATATTTAAGGGACACTTTTAAAATTMTTTTCTAATAGTTAAACCAGGAATTACAGTGAAATAAGGTATTTCAGAAAATTTTAAAAACAGCTAATAATGTCTAACTAAATATGTTATCCTGATTCAGCCATGCTTTATGGAGGCCACCCCATGAAGGAGTTTACTGGTCCTCTAAGTGGCTTTTGGTGGTTAAAAAAAAAGGCATTTTTTATAAGGCCAAGAATAGGACATTCTGACCTGCAGGTTCAGGATACAGAGAAGATCATTTAGAAGACAAAAMAACCTCTGCCACCAGAATTTTTACTTTCTCTGATTCCAGATCTGCTATATCCCTGCTTTTAACATGGACATTTCCCYATCCCTTTCATCTGAAAGCTTAACATCAGATCTGAGACCCCTTCATCATCTGTGTCTTGTTCACTGGCCATAACTTCTTTCACAGTGAACCTCTATTTTCAGTATTTACTCTAAATCTGACCAYATTAGTTGCAGTTCCCTGAATCTTACAATGTCGTTCTTGCCCCCTTGTCCATCTTATGTGTTGCTACCTAAGTCTGGGAATGGCACGTATAACACTACCCAGGTGTTTATTTGCACTATGCCTCAAGATAATACATCCTCTGGGAAGACTTCTCTGTCTCCTTTCTCTTCCAACTATTAAAAAGCAGTGGCGATCTCCTTCCTCAGTATTTCCATAGCACTTTCTGTTTTCCTACATTGTCACAGTTAATTATAGCTATCCCTTTATTACCTTAACTGTAAAGGAAACACCTTGAAGGCAGAGATCTTCTTTATTTTCTAAATGTTTAATGATTATACCTTATCTTTACTTGGCACATCAGAAGTATATGTTACATATGATTAAATGGATGGGTGGATAAATGGATKGTTGGACAGGTGGATGGCTGGATCAATGACTTCATATAACTTATAAGCAAATAATCTGGTTTTAGAATGCATTGAATGGCAGAAGACAGACTTTTAAAAGAGAATTTAAAATAATATATCCAAAAAGGCACTATTGATTTTTAAATGGTTTTGTTATTAGAAACTTGGATTCTGAAATTAAAATGATATAAACTCATTTTTTCTTTATATTACTCCATACTGAATTATTTCATGTTTCTGAAGTTCTGAAGCATATGGATCTTTGATATTGAAATACTTAATATTATTTAATGTTGTCATTCTCTGCTTTCACTTTTCTCATTTGACTTTTGTTGTTTTTCAGGAAAAAATGCTATTATACAGACCGGAGGAGTAAATCAAAGGGCAGGTTGGTGCATAATGCTTAAATTTGTTTATGAGCAATTTGTCATTCAGGGAGAAAAGAAGAAAAAAATGTTATTATCCATAACAGCAGTTGTGAATTTTAGGATGGATATTTTATTGATTTGTTCAAACATTTCAAAATTACTTATGCCAAATTGAACTGTGTTTAAAAATCAGATAATCACTTTGGTATCATTTATCATTGCCATTGCTGGAATCCTCCCATGACATAATATTATGGAAGAATTTTCGTTGCAAGTTAACATCTTAAAAGATTTTAATTTTAAAAATAATTATAAAATCACTCTGGGCATGGTGGCTTTTGCCTGTAATCCCAGAGGCTTGGAAGGCTGAGACAGGAGGATTTCGAGAAGAAAGCCAACTTCAGCCACAGTGAGGGACTAAACAACTCAGTGAGACCCTGTCTCTAAATAAAATACAAAATAGGGCTGAGTTGCTGGGAATGTGGCTCAGTGGTTGAGCTCCCCAGAATTCAATTCTTGGTACCAAAAAAAAAAAAAAAAAACCCGTAAAATTAGGATCAATGAATAAATGACGACTCACTAGAGAAATAGAACAATCTAYCTACCAAAGATTTGCAGGGACATTCAGTGAAATTATCTTATCAGAAGCACTAGAATCCAGAGTAATGCAGTGGTTTACTAAGGTTATGAAGTATTTTTTGCATTATAAACCTAATTCAATTCTGCCACCTTAATTTACCTGTCTTATGCTAGGATTAAAAATGAGCTTCTTTTCAAGAAAAAGCTTCATCTAAAGCCTCAGCTATTCACCTGTTGTAATAAAGGGTAACTGTGGAAAGGATTTAAACAAGCCACAATTCTAAAACAGGAGAAATTCTTTAACCTGAGTCACCTTGGCACTATTTCACTGGAGGAAATGAGCTTCCTTTAATGAACACTTAAACAAAAGGCTTTATACACTTGGCTGTTTTCCTGCTCATTGCAGAAGATTCAATTTGCAAAGACAAAACACAAGAATGTGGTAAAATGAGTTCCATTGACAAATTTTGTAGGGGATAACAATTCAGATTATACAAAAGCTATAAAACCCACAGTATGAATAAGAGACCATTTTAGGAAAGGATTCAATAAATCTAGTTCCTTTCCCAAAGAAAATCACTTAATATAACTTCAAACTTTATAAACCTTTATAGGAGAATATTGGCTCCTTTAAGCATTGAATTTAGGTTTGATAGGATTTAATGACAAGAAAGTAAATCATGGAGAAGAAAATCTTGAAGTTAGAATAATTATCACAGAAATTAGTACAATGAATTATTAAATAATTAATGATGGTTCTTAACCAAGTCATATATTTCTGCCAGGTTAGTGCTCTGAGTTAGAATGAACCCTTGTTAATTCTTCTGTAGATATTGGTCCTGGTCTATGTAGCAAATTTCCAAAGTCATACTTACATAATAAAGTCAAAGTCACTGAAATCTTATAATACATAAATTTATAACTGCATTTTTCTTTTCTCTGCTATGTATATGCCTGTCCAATATTGGATGGTTGATAAAGTCTCTTTATTTTGGTCCCCTTTAGACACCTACCATGGAATTAGTGAGACTTTGTGACTACACAGTTACTGGGWTTTCTGTTGAACAGGCGTTTTTCTTTCAAAGACTTGCAGAAAAATAAATCCTCTTATTAAAATCTCCAAAAAGTCTATATAAAGCTATCACTTTCATTTTTAAATTTGTGTTTAGAATATATTCTAAATATATGTATATTAAATACTAAAGAAATACCATATTTGTATAAAAAATATTTCTTTTTCTGTTTTCAAGCAAACCAGAAAAACAACTGTATCATCTATTTCAAAATGTTTAGTCTTTCAATATTTTCTGTTTACTCCATAAAATTAAAATTTGGTTTTCAAATTTTCCAAGTGATTATCAGAACCTTAACTATAATCTGTCCCTTTACATTTTGCTTATTACTAATAGTTTCCTTTGTTTTTTGGTTTCATGAATGCAAACAGGGAGGAGCAGGGAATAAATAAATAAATAAATAAATAAATAAATAAACTCTTTATGAAAGAGTTTATAAAACATATTATATATATTTATATTTATGTATATATAACATTTTAAATAGAAAAAATATCATGTTATTTTTTTCTGAGCTTATATGTTCAATTAAGGAATTGACTGGTTCCTATTTTTTAAAAATGATCTTTGAAGAAGAGAATTTAAGAACAGTGTGTGTGTACATGTGTGTCTTCATTATTGATATAAGATCATAAAACTATAGACATATTGCAAAGTGAGAAATTAAAATCAAATATGCCCAGTTAGTTTTACTTGTGCTTTTTCTTTCTTGAAGTGAAAGATGTTTTGTTTATTGTTAATTTTGAACAGCAAACACTAGGGGATAAATAAACAGGCAATTATCCAGCTTTTGAAGATCATCATTTCTCAGGGAAGGTTGAAAGGAAATAACCATAGTTTTATTATTGCTGCAATTTACTTTTTATTTACAAAGCATTTCCACATTCAAATATAAAAGCAACTTCAAAATGACCTGCAAGGGAGTCAGAACAAAGAGTAGCCAGTTTTGCAGATCTAGGAAAATAAATGACTCGCTCTCCACCCCCATCCACACTGCCCTCAGCTCTCTGCTGCTTTGGCAGAGTTTGTGATTTGACTAAGTTGTTTTGACCCTTTAATCCAGATTTATATTCAATTTCCATAGAATTCTCAGCTATTCCCTGATTTTAGCAAAAGACTTTGAAGCTCTATTAGAAGTCATCTTCACATTATACCATGAAATCTTGCATTTGCAAGTCCAAATGTATTAGATAATATTGGAGTACAGTGTGGCAGTTGCAACAATAGAAATAGTAGTAGCAATATTCTTTTCACTATTATTAGCATAATATTTATTGGATGCAAACAATGAGGTATGCCTGGTGGCATCAGACATTGTCCCTTTAATTCTCAAAATATTCTTTTGTTTAAAGGATGAACAAGATCCCTGTATCCTAGTATTGAAATTCAGGTCAGAATGCATTTACCATCACATCAGGAAATATGTGTGAAAAGCCTAAATTGATAATATTGTTTGTTTTCTATTAGCAGAATAAGTGAAAATTTGAACACTCTTTTACTTGGTTTATTTTAAAATTTTTAAAAATTCACCTTTGTTTCTACTTTGTCATTTCATCTGAAACAGAAGGTTCTTGGGTGCCATGACACAACAATAGTTTCCAAGTACAGTTGGAATATTTCCTTTTATCTGATTCTCCTGGCCATTTTTCTAAAATAGGGCAGATGGAATTACTTCTTCTCCTTAGAGCTAAGGAACCTGAATCTCAGACTGGAAATGTGTAGTCCAATTTCAAAGACTGGAAAATTCAGCACTAGAGCATTCATATTTTATTCCTATTCCACTGGKTTTATTCAGATTTTTTGCTGGTTCTTTTTAGTTATACATGACAACAGGATTCATTTTGCCTTAATTATAAAACCATAGAATATAATTTTCTCTAATTCCATCTTCAGGACTTCCACATTTTCCTTTTTCTCTATCCCTGTTTCCTCCTTTCTACCTTACTGATCTTTCTGCTATTTACATATAGTTTTTTTTTTAATTAGTGCTTTGTGGACGTACATTGCCTGTTCTTTTTAGATATTCATAATAGTATACTGTATTTTTACATTTTATACATAAGTGGAGTGCTGTACTTAAAAAGCTGGATCAGTCTTTTTATAATCTACTTAATATATTCTACATGTCTGTGTGCTGGCCTCTGGAATATGGGGATAAATTAACTTGGATGCTTTCTTTGTAATGAGAAGCAGCAAAGTGACCACCTCCTATAACGGATTGATTATTTCTTTATTATTATTATTGTTGTTCATTTTATTATTATTTATTTTAGATTAGAAAGAGATGCTGTGATCCCTCCAAAACCAAAAATAACCAGCAGCTATTTGATAATATAACTTGGCAAAGGAAATATCAAGATTTTTACATCCAGAACTCTGTAGCAGGATTTGATTCTTATTTCAATTTTTGTATGATAATTTTTTCATAATAGAATTGAATGAAATAAGTCTTAAGATACATATTGACTGCCTGCCCACTGCTGTCCTAATATTTTTTGAAGGTCAAACAAAGTCAGCTAAACAAATATTGAAATATGTTGTACTTGTCTGGGAACATATTTTGTCCTAATTCTTCCACTTGCTGTTGCAGTAGATGCCAAAAATCACCCAGCAGAACCTCATAGTGTGTAAATATTACATTTTTTTTAGTGAACATAGCTGTTATAATAGTAACTTAGAATGCAGTTTTTCAGAATCAACTCTGGAATCAATCTCTCTCTCTCTCTCTTCTCAGTAAAACAAATATGATTCTAATCAGTATAAATAGAGCACACAGGTGGGGCCAAAGTGTCTTTTACAGTTGGGGCCAAAGTGTCCTGATGTCAGAATTTCCTGAAACAGTATTTAATGTAGTACATGCCTGGTGTCTATACTCAATTCATATTTAAAATATGCATAATAGATAGAAGCATGAATATTCCCTAGGAGCTACCTAGAAATGCAGAACCTCAGGCCCCATGCCTTACTGAGTCAATATCTGCATTATTTTTCTTCTCCTTCTCCTTCTTCCTTTTCTTAATTTTTTTTCTTTCATTTTGATACCGTGGTGGTGGGGATTGAACCCAGGGGCACTTAACCACTGAGCCATATCCTCATCCCTTTTTCATTTAGAAACAGGGTTTCAAGGAGCTGCTTAGGGCCTCACTAAGTTGTGAAGCTGGCTTTGAACTCAAAATCCTCCTGCCTGGATATCCTGAGCTGCTGGGATTACAAGTGTGAGCTACCATGCCTGGCCAATATATGCATTTTACTAAAATATTTGGGTCCTTCATATGCCCACTAAAATCTTAAAATTATTGCAAAGGCTCTATACCCCAGTCTTCCTTGTTGTTAGTGATCAGGTTTAAATTAAAGCACCAAATAGCAACTTTCCAACAAAGTCAATATTATTTTGACTTTATGAGTGAGGAAACTGAGGCAAGAAGTAGTTTAACAACTTGCACAAATTCACACAGCTAATGCAATGCAGAGATCTGTTTTAACCCAGTTTTATGGGACTTCAAAGTTGTTTCCATTTCTACTGCAGTCRTAGCCCCCAGTACTAATAAAGAAGTGTGTCAGAGCCATTTATTTATTTAGTCTTCACTTTGAACACTCATATTGCTGTTTCTTTTTTTTAAGAATTAGGAAGTAGTCTATAGATAGATTGGATAGATGATAACATACAGTTTTAATAAATATATGGTGATACTTTTTTATACTCTTGTCTACCATCATATTTATAGTGGTTCTGAAATATTTTCCACAAGGTTTTTGTTCATGAGGACACATAATTGCTCTGAAAGAATTTAAAGAAAAACAGGACTTGGCTTGTTTTGCTATTTTGTGTTGAAAAAGAAGTGTGTGTGTGTGTGTGTGTGTGTGTGTGTGTGTGTGTGTGTACGTGCACCTATCTTTTTAGAATTCATGCTTTAGTACTTGAGGAAATTATCATGGAAGGTTGGCATGGCTATGGAATACCACCTAACCTGGTTCTATGATGTAACTTTCTTTCAGGTTGCAAAATTATTTTAAAAGAATAAAAAAGTGGATGTCCCAAAATCCAATGGTTCTTGACAAGTCAGCTTTTCCAGACCTTGAGGAGTCAGACTGCTACACTGGCCCCTTTAGCAGAGCACGGATTCACCAGTGAGTTCCTGTCTTTTCTGTCACCTGCTTTTGTGTCTTTCATTATCTGTGATTTGTTTATAGAATAAAAATTCCTGTGACCATTGTTATTGTTAACCAAATGGGGTCAGCTAAAAAAAAAAAAAAATCTGCTCTTTCTTTGCAAACCCAAGAAACCAGACTGATCTTTGRAAAGCATCCATCAGATCACAGAGAGGCCTTACTTAATCTCCCATGCCCATGGCCTCCCATTGAACTTGTAATAAAATTYAAATGTCTTTCTTATGATCTGCCTGTGGATGCAGATGCTGCAGTTCCTTCCCAACACTCTGACTTCAACTCTGCATTTTCCACATTTACTTAATCCAGTCATGAAAGCCTTGGTTCAATGAATCAGCTACTGGTGTATCATCCCAAGCCAGAACTTTTATTCTTGATGTTCTCATTGCCTGACATGCTCTGCCCCCAGACCTCTGCATGGCATTTTCCCTCTTATTATTCTGCTCCCACTCAACATTACCACCTCAGAAGACCTTCTCTGAACACTCTGCCTCTGGGCCCCTATTCTCTATGCCATTCTCCTGTTTCATCTTTCTTCATGCACCTTACATGTAATTTTGTTATTTATATGTTAGTTTTTAAAATMTGTTTTATTCCTCCATAATGTAAAGCCAGGAAAATAGAAATTTACCTGCTTAAGAAATATTTCTTCAAAAATGCTTCCTCAGTCTATAAGTGAGAAAATCATCAGAATGGAGGATATTTCTTCTGCTACCTGYAATTAACAAGATCCTGAATTTGGTGCATCCCAATACAGATAAAACATAGAAACTGTAAAGAACTCATAATCTAATAAAATAGACAAATGTACATATTAAGTGTAAATCAATATTACGAAAGACACAAATAGACATTAAGAGGAAAGGCTCTTGGAAACCTTTTYGAAGGAAACAGCCCTTTACAACTGATTAAAAAACAAGGGAGTAAGGAGGGGAGAAGAAGGAAAAATGTTGAAGACAGAGCAAAATCCAGAGGAAAAGAAGCAGACCATTTGACAGTGATGATAAACTGAACAGTTTAACAGATGATCAGGTACAAGAAGCCAGAACTGTAAGAAATAAGACTTGAGTTATAGGTTGTAATACAAGCRTAGAGATCCATGGAGGGAAATGAGAACTTTAATTATGTTCATAATGGAAAGCTCCTGACAGGCTAAAAGTAGAGGACTACTCTAAGGATCAGAGTTATGCTTTCTTTAAAGGAAGGGGGGAAGTTGATTGTCTAGTTATGAGGACATTCTTCTCATAATGCCACCCAGAATAAGTGGGGTAGTGCCAAAGCTGGAGAGGTTGTTCAGTTAGATAAGTTACTTTCTGTGGCAATTATTTGAGTGTTGAGGGTGAAGACAAAGCAAGGMTTATAGCAGACATAATATTCAGACGAAGTGCCTGACGAAATGGTAGTCCATCATTCACAGAGATAAAGCAACTGGAGAGGGGAAGTGTCAGAAGTTGAGTGAAATCCATTACACTGTTTTTTTTTATTTTTATTTTTTTGAGACTCCCAGATTATGATAAAGTAGATGTTGAAACAGATCTTTCCTCTTTCTTAGGATCCTCKTTTGCACTTTACATCATAGACATTTGCATAGTCACCTTGCTTCTCTTTCCAAAAAGGGACAATACAAGGAATGAAACAGAAAAAAAA